AAAAAAAAAAAAAAAAAAAAAAAAAAAAAAAAAAAAAAAAAAAAAAAGAAAAAAAAGAAAGCTCAAACAGATCAAAATAAAAAACGTCATATGGAATAGAAGCCAGCCAAAGGCTAGAAACAAATGGAGAAGCCAACTACCCCAGCTGCCGGAGCCCTGATGAGGCTTGGATGACGTGAGCCTTGGGCAATACCTCCTGGCCTACCTGGAAGAAAAATGATAGCTGGGAGTCACAAGAGAGTCTGGCATGAGGGAGGCTGAGACACAGGAGGGACAGAGGGTATAGACAAAGGCTGTGCTCAGAACTGAGGCCAGAAGCCACAGAGCTCAGCCATGGAGACCTTGTCTCAAGACGAGCTAGCTACAAGAGCCAGGGGGTGGCATTTAGTAATGGGAACACAGGCTTCACTCCACACAGAGCTACAAAGCAGGTCAAGGGCTGGATGAAGGGACAACAGGCCAAGAACAGATGGCTGGTTGGAGGGACGGCAGCATCAGAAAGCGCACACTTGCCTCCCGTTTGGGAAAACATTCTCCAGGACTCAAAGAACAGGTCCCAGTGAAATGGGTCAGTGGGTAAACACTCGCTACATAAACCTGGAGACTGGGGCTCTATCCCTAGAATCCACATAAACAGAAGCAGGAAGTGGCTCCCAAGTTGTCCTCTGACCTCCACATGTGTCACACCAGGCTGACGCATGCGCACACACGCACACGCGCGCACACACACACACACACACACACACACACACACACACACACACACAGCAGCCACAGATCCAGACAGAAGACGAGGCCTCTTCCAGGTGAGTTGCACATCTGTGTAACCCACATCCAACTTACCCCAGCTCCACAGCTTCCCTTCTGTGGTGATGAGGAGGCTGTGAGCCGCACAGGAACCTGAAATAACGGTTCGCACCCGGACTCCTGAGAGGCACCCATATCTATGGGGACCCCACAAATTCTGACCAAGGTTACGGTAGGCAGCTGCAAAAGAAGAATGCAAATCACACCCCTGATGGACAGGCAATGGGCCACTGGGCAAGCACTGAGGAGCACCCCAGCATGTCATGAGGGGCCACAGAAGACACGAGGCTACTCCATGTCACTGGCCCTATCTATTTTCACAGTGCCAATCCCTCTCCTCAGACCTATACACACAACTGCTGGTCCCCAATCCTAAATACAGGGCAGGGCTGGCCTTCCTGTACTGGTCTGGAATGACACAAGCTCATTCTGGAGTGCTTTTATCTATCCTCCTGCCTGCACCCTGACCTCCTCTCAGCTAGAAAAAGGTCTTTCTCAGACCCACTTGCTTCCTTGTTGCCATCCACCCCTGACCCCTTGAGTTCCACCCACACCTAGGAAACTCAGCTTGCTGGCCAGCCTGTCACCTGACTTGCTCATCAATCTTCCCACGGCCTCTATTAGCCCTTCAAACTTTCTGGGAACCCACATCTGACTTTGCACTGTGCCCCTTAACTGCTTCCCACCTACTACACAACTGCCTCCACTATGACAGGCAGAGGGACCAGGCTGCGGTTCCCCTGCCAGGCTCACCTCCCGGTAGAGGAAGCTGCCACCCCCACTTCCCTGAGGCAGGGGTGTGGCCTTTCTTTCACCTCCAGAACAATGGCGAGTATCTTGAGAAGCTAGCCACAGTTGAAGTGGCTCAGACACAGGCCAGCTGGCTAAGGAAAGGCTTCCCACCGGTTACCCATGAGGACTAGTGACAGCACATGTACCCCTCCTTCCAGTACAGAGCAGCCCCCTGCAGTGACCAGGGTACCTAGCATCAGAGGGTACCCTCAGACCCTGCAGCCAACCGCACTGAAAAGTGCTTTAGGGGGCTGGAGAGATAGCTCAGTGGTAAACTGCCCTTCTGAAGGTCCTGAGTTCAATTCCCAGCACCCACATGGCAGTTCACACCTGTCTGATGACATCCTCTGGTGTGCAGATGTACACGTAGACAGAACACACATACACATAAAACTGCATGAACAAATAAACAAACCTTTCTTTAAAGAGTGCTTTAAAACAAAACCAAACAGCACAGTCATGCCAAGGGATGAAATGAATGAAAGACAGCCTCTCAGGCTGTTAAAACTGAAGAGAAACTGGAATCAGCCCTGAATCATGGAGGGCAGCAAACGCAAACTTGCACTCCTGCCACGGGACCAGGCACCAGATGGAGAAGAATGGCCTGGTTCTTGAACCAGCTGGCCCAGGGAACCCTGGCTCCCCAGCATCTCTACCAATGCTTCCTTCTCTGAAGAGGGTGCCATCACCAGCCACAAGAGCATCCGGGAACCTCCCCCATCCCAGGGGCCCCTCCTCATTTCAGTACAGAGGGGCAATGGTTCAGAGTCAAAGCCACAACCGGGCAGTGGCCCCACTTCAGAGTCTGACTGATCAACATTAGCCCCATGGTTTACAGACCCTCAGGACCTGGTCCTCACCATAGGCCACAACAGGGACCATCATGCTGTTATGTAAACCAAGATACATTAAGGGTGGGAGCTACAAAGATCCAAGAGACAGGGTGCATAGGTAAGCACCCCCTCCCTACCTGCAGGTCGGTGGGAGATAAGCCTTGTCTAACAGCTCCAGGCAAAGGTTACAGGTAGCCTAAACTTATCTGTACGTTTACAATTAATAAGCGAAACTACACAAACCTGACTTTGGAGGCACAAGGTAAGACCCCAACATTAGCCAGGTCTGCTCTGGATACGTGGCACAGCTTCTGGGCCACAAAGGGCATGGAACGTGGAGGTGAGAGTCAGGTCAAGGCACCACTGTCTGCAGGACAATGGACACATGGACAACAGGAACCCGGAGTGGACTAGCCGTGGCGGCCACTCTGCTCACTCAGGACTGGTAGGTGCCCATGGCTGTGCTGAAAGATGGGCATCTTCCACGAGGAGCAGCAGCTGCTCAGCTCCATCTGTACCATGCAGGACCTCCTGCCATCTTCCTGGGGCAGGATGATGGCCAAGGCCCCTAGGTTTGGGTACCAGGGTGTGTCGGTGTTCAAATATTTGTTCCTGGACAAAGCAATGCTGGAAGCACTTTGGGCATGTTTCCAAATGAAGTCAAGAGCCATAAAGTATAGAGCTGGGCCCGCCCTCTTCAGCCCAAGAGGCCCCCCCAGAAAGGCCCCCATCTTCTACAGACAGTTGGATACAGGAAGTTACTTGGTGGGACCATTTCCCACTCTCCACAGCTTTCTAGTTCCACTGAGTTTCGACAGACAAGCTGTCGGTCACATCTGACAAGTGTGTGGGGCCAGGTGACACCACAGAACAGGATCAGCCTCTTCCTTGTAGTGAAAAGGAATCTTGAGGACTCAAGGGGTCATACCTGTTTGAAGACTACAATTCCCTAAAGCAATCTCAGAAAGCTTTCCACACAGAGCTGTGACAGCACAGCCATGCATAAGACCAGGCTCAGCTCAAACACATCATCTTCGCCAGAGTGGCTCTGTGGCCTCAAGCAATTTGCTTGGCCTCTCTGAACATGTCCACAGACACAAAGACTACCTACCTGGTGGGCGGTCCCAGCACACCACCAGCCACCTGGTTACAACCAATGATCGAGAAACCTTTCTCATACCTTGTTGTTTAGGCACTTCCTTCCGTCCAATCAAGTCCCAGTTGGTTGCCCCAAAAATCAAAAGCTGCCCTTTGCACTTAGACCCTTCAAGTTTCTGAAGAGAAAGAGAGAAGGCCAAGAATTAGCTTGTTAAGGTGGCTGCTGACACTCCAAAGCTGCTCAATGGATGGAATAGGGGCAAGGTCTCTCTTTTGCAGCCCAGACTAACCTGGAACTCACCTCTTCCGGCATCAGCCGAATATTGGGGTTACAAGTGTGCACCATCACACCTGGCTTGAAAATAATTCTCTGCGGGCGCTTTCACTCTGGTCAGAGGTCCCATCCAATCACCCCCTCATTTACATTCTCCAAGGTGGGTGACCCTGAACCTTTCCCCAGAAGTCCTGTTGTTAAGTCTGAGCTCAAGACTAACACTGAGACAAAGGAGGGCACTTATGACCGGCCTACAAGGCTGGAGACCCAGGAACCCACACGCCGTGACCAGCTACATAGTCCCCACTTCAAGAGCCATGACGCACTGGTAGCCCTCACACCTCAGCCCTGTGTCGCTTCTGCAGGGTCGCCATGACCCTATGCGCTGCCCACAGTCACGGCAGAGTTTTAACAGGGAGGAAGGAAGGGGGAATTACAGTCTAACTTCACCAGGGGAGGCAGAGGAGTAACACAGGGAGGGCACTGCTTTGGTGGGCAGCAGGCTGCCACCATGCTGCTCACAGCTGGCACCAGCAGCAAAAAACAGCTCCTTACTAGGGCTAACAGCCCAACTCCCTTCCCTCCATGTCTGGAGTTTGCTCTGCAGTTCTGGTAATGGTCCTCGCACGTCAGCCTCCTTAGCACCGGCAGGACAGGGATGTAACACTACACCTGTCCAGTGTGTGTGTGTGGGCGCTTCAATTCTCAGCCACTTTAGATACCCCCCCCCCCCCAACACCAGGGCTACTGAGCCTGCACTACCTACACAGATCTACACAGCCTTTTAAAGGCTGCTGCCCCATTACGGGCAATGCTCATAAAAATCAACACTCTTCTCTCTGCCTTTTTAAATGTCAAAATACTTTATTATTCTTTCCTTTCAAACGGTGCTTGTGGGCTTCTGAGATGTCTCTGAACTGAGCAGTAGCTGCAGCTCCAACAGCTCCAAGTCAGCTGTTCCTAACGACACACCCCACAGATCCATCTCCAGAAGTCAGTTCCTTTTTCAGGGAACCTGACCTCCCAGGCGCCACTACTTCCAGTCATGTCCAGGAGGCAGAGGCAGGAAGCAAGCTTCACGACCGGTCCAAGCCTCATAGGAATGGAGCAGCCTCCCTGTTCAATTATTCAGCTCTCCTGCCGGGTGTGGGGGCAGCCTCCTGGGGCCAGACTCAAGTTACCTGAATGGGATGGGAGCCTACTTTCCCTTTGTTGAAAAGCAGGTGTGTCAGGAATATCCTACAAGCCCCAGCCCACTGCCCTGGGCCTCCGTAAAACCTTCACTTACTCATGTGTATCTACCATTCTTCTGATCTGCACTTTGAAGGGGCCTCAGAAATACACGGGATGGTGATTCCATATCAGACGACACTGCACTAGAAGCTTCTGAAGTGGAGAGAAGCTCAAGGGTTCCCAAGCTTAGCACTCACCAACAGGGAGTGCTACGGTCACCCTGAGCTCCACCAGGAATGCTGGTAGTCAATCTACTGCCATCTCTGTGGCTCCTGAAGCCTTCATGCCAGCTGGGCATGTCTGTGGGCAATCTTGCCTGGCTTCCCATGAAAAACACAACTGTTCCCAGCACTCAGGGAGGCAGAGGCAGGCAGATCTCTGTGAGTTCAAGGCCAACCTGGTCTACAAAGTCCACAGAGAAACCTTGTCTCAGAAAAAACAAAAACAACAAAAAATGAGGAACTGTTAGCCTGGCTTGAGCTTCTAACATCACAGACTCCTGAGTTCTCACAGAAGACCTTTACTGTACCCCTGCCAGTCCCTATACAACTGTTTGTTATTATTCCAACAATTCTCTCCGTAACTCTTAACTCTTTTCTCCTTATGGAATAAAAACTTTTATTTGTGCTATTCATAATGCCCTTTCAGTCAAAGCCCCTGTCAAAAAACTCTAGGCCACAGAATGGTAACAACCTATCCCATAAGCTTGTGGGAGGATCTCAATTGTAACAACCTATGCCACAAAGGGGGGGGGGTCCCCAATGAACAAATGTATTGGAAAGGCCTTGAGGGCTCACTGGAAAAGCATCAAAAGAAAGGTGGGAGGAACGGAGGGAAGAGAGCTAGGAACAACAGAAAAAGAACAAGCCAGAGGTTCCCTGCTCTCCGGGGGCTAACCCAGCCTCCTATGTGACTCCATGCGTGCAACATACCAACACAGCAAAGCTCTAGAGTCCAGACCAGGTGAACTCCATCTCCCCATGATGGTCACAATCGTGACCTGGGCCCATGAGCGGCCAAGGCAGAAAATGCACTGAGTACCTCCAATCAACAAAATGGAACTTCCTGGCCACAGGAATCACTCTGAATTATTGCCTGAGTACACTTTGTGAGGCAGAGAGTCAACCTTTTCACACATCCATTTAGGAGACTGAGGCTCTGGGACAGGAGGCTTGGCCTTCAACTATGTTCATGAAAAAGACAGTGAGTCTCAGGGTCCATGAAACCTTAGCAACCCCACACAGAGCCAGAGGCCTGCACCACTTACCAGTTTCTGAGGGCTCAGGCAAGGCCATTGGTGATGCGTCAGCCCCTTCCTCGAAAGACAAAATTACCATCCAATATGACCACCGTGTACACAGGACAAGAGTGAAAACTAGTTTTCTACAAATCAGCTCTTCGGGACTTTCCTAGCACATCTCACTCCTGCAGGACAGCGCTGCCCTCAAAAGCGTGAGCATGTGGCTCACCTTCCAAGCCCCACACAACTGCAAGCTCAAGATAAGGGAAGGCGAATGGTGGATGCTCACACACTGTGGCAGCGGACCTCCCACCGGGGAGAGGCCCGAGTTGGCTCAGTGCCTTCTGGAAAAAAAAAAAAAAAGAGAGAGAGAGAGAGAGAATGGTGGCACTCGCCAATCCTACCAGAAGCAGAAACTCAAGGCACACTTCACAAGCGCCAACAGCACGGACCTTCTGAATCCCCACAGGCTGCTGGGTTCACCTTGCCAATGACCCTTTAGCAGTGTGGGGTCCTGCAAAGGCCCCTAGCTTTAAGGTGATGGGGACACACAGCCTCTAAGTCCCTGTTTCTACACATGCATGGGAAGCATGCTGCACACACAAGACAAGCACAAACTGCAGGCGACTGACTGCCTTTACTCAGAGATGGCGTCTCCCAGTAGGACAGAGAGACCTATTCGGAAACAGGGTGATGGAGAGAGGCCTCTGGGCCCTCCTACACCTCCTTCTTCCTTTCCGAATGTGAATCCCTTCAGGGGTCTCTTTCCAGCCCTCAGAACTCACTGATCTGGGAGTGGGCTAGAACAGTTAGGCAGCTGGCTCAAAAGAGTATGTCCCTTCTCAAACTGGGGACAAAGGACTGAGGGGACTATTTAACATCTCAAAGAGGGTGCTGGCCACCAGGTTCTCCCAGCGTCCAGTACTCACTACCCGTTACAGGGCCTCCTGGTGCACATTGCTGCCCCCTACCCTAAACTTAATCCATCCCAGGGACCTCCATTCCCTCAGCTACTCTTACCTGTATCACCCAGTCATTTATTACCCCCTCCTACGAGCCTCAGCTAGCACCGGGCTACCCTCCCCGGTCCTCACGTGCCCTGCACTGACTCTGCCAGCTGTCCCTCCCTCTGCCTATGTCTCCCTTTTATCCACAATAAACTTTCTCCTTCAATATACCCTCGTCCTTTCCTTTTCCTCATTCGGTAGATCATCCAATTCCACCTGGCTTCCTTAAATTCCATGAAAGCCTCACACAACAGAGGCAAGACCCCAACATGCCTAACTTCTCAGCCTTGTCCTGACCACTGAGCAGGAAGTAGGAGGGCAGTCTGTGGGTTCCCCTTTCAATACTCAGGCTAAGATGACTCTACCTAGCAAGCCTACCTACCTCATGCAGGGCTCCTCTGCATGCCTAGCCAGAAGAACCTTCCTTCAAGATGGTTAAAGTCCCTTTACTAGGTCTCCTAGTGTGCCTGGGCAGCTCCCTCTACCCTAGTCACCTTTGCAGAGCACCCTTTTGAAACAAGGGTGACACTCCAAGGATCAAGCTCCATCAATTAGGTTAACAGAAAAATGTGGTCTCCTGCAGGGAACGGAGGGAAGAAGTGTACCAAAGAAAACTTGCACAAAGTTCTAGTTGGGACGCAGTGGACCCTGGGCCCGGTTCACACTGGCACTGCAGGGCTTTTTTCCTAAAGCTCAAATAGGATGACTTAGCCCAGAACTTAAAAGCCAACCGACCCCACGGGCCCCACGCCGCGGCCACCGGAGGTAGACAAAGCCCAGTGCCGCTCTGCGGGGGGTCTCGGGTGGGAGGAGAGCCCCCGGGCGGGGAAGGGCCTCCGAGGAGCATGCGCGCTCACAAGCCTCAAGGCCCCCACCATGCCCCGCGCGCACCGGCCGGCCGACCGCGCAGGGCACTCACCGAGCATGCGCGCAGCACGCCAGGCCCCGCCCCCCCGGGGCGCCCGAGCCGCAGCGGCGGGAACCTCAAAGCCCCGGCGCGAGCCGGCAGCTCCCCGCGGGCTGCCCTCCCCCCCCTCCGGAGGAGGAAGACACTGGGGGGGGAGGAGGGTGGACGCGCGGGGGATGGGGAAGAGTGACAACACCCGCACGGCCACGCACTCCGGTCGCCCCGGGGCCGGGACCAGCACCCCCCGAGTTCCCCGCGCGGCGTGGGGGAGGGGCGGGGCGTGACCCCGCGGCGCCCCTCCCCCCCAACGGCCAACCGCCCGCGCCCCCGCCCCACTCACGACGCGCTCCTTCGTGTGCTCGGGCTCGGTGATAATCGCGGCCGCGCCGCTCGCCTTGCCCGCCGCCGCCGGCCTGGCTGTGCGCTTGCCGCCGCCGGGGGCCCCGTCCAGCTCCGGGCCGTCTTCGTCGCCGCTGCTGCCGCCGCCGCTGCTGCTGCTGCAGCGCTCGGGCCGCTCGCGCTTCCTGCCCGCGGGGCCGCCGCGCCTCCGGGGCCCCGCGCGCGCCGTGCCGTTGCCCGAACTCGGCTCCTCCCAGGCCGCCCCCTTCTTCCTGGGCATGGTCGCGGGCTGCGGAGACACGGGCGCACAATGCACGGGCTGGCTGCGGGGCGGGGGAGGGGAGCGCGGCGCGGCGTGGGCCGCCCCACCTGCTGCTCCCGCGCCCCTCCCCACGCCGCGCGCCACGCGGGAACCCCCGGGGCCCCCGCCCGGCCCCAGGCACCTGCGGGCACGCGCGCAAAGATTAACTTTCGTGGGGCCCCTGCCCAGCCCCCGCCGCCCCACACTCGGCCCGTCTCCTTTTTTTCTTTTTTTTTTTTTATTGATTTTGAACAATGGGATCTCTGTCTGTCTCCGATTAAACCACGTGGATCCGCCTTCCTTCCCCTTCTTATTCATTCCGTTCCCCAACCCCCCTTCCCCAGCGTTGTTTTTTTTAACCTTTCTCGGAGGGGGGGGGGAGGAAAGGAGAGGAGAAAAAAAAAAAAGAGAAAAAAAAAAAAAAACTTTCCCAGACCCTGCAAACTGGTCCAGGTCGGTTTCCAGCCCCTACCTGGTTGGAGTGATGAGAAAAGGGAAGGGGAGCGACTGAAAGATGGGTCGACGGCTTCTTCTCTCCCCGGCCCGGACGAGGGCTCCAGCCCACTCACCAGATACACTTAAAATGTAAATACGAGCTTCCAGAACAAATGCTACAACACAAAACAGAAACACATGTGCGGCCGGGCGGCAAGCGGGCGCGCGCGCGGCGGGCGGCGAGGGGCCCCGGGCGCGCGCGCCCCCTACCGGCTGGAGGACCCCGCGGCCCGGCCGCCCACCCGATCCTGCGTCCCGGGCGCCCTGTGCCACGCCGCAAACCCGGCTCGGCTCCGCCGCCGTGCGCTCCGCACGCCCTTCCGCGCAGCGCGGCCTGCGCGTCACAGGGCGTCTTTGGGGCTCGGGAGAGTGTCAGATTCTCTTGTTTTTTCCTCCGAGCGTCTAGACAGGTCACCTGAGGACACTCGCTGGAAAATAGTTGCTTTGCTCACGCAGCAGCCAACGAGGGACGTGCCCTAATTGAGTGATTGGAATGAAAGATGAATACAATTTGAATAACTTTCTCCTATGCAGGCAGAGGCTAGATTTTATTCTGTCGTGCATGTGTCCAGAGTGTGAAGCCGGGTGCTGTTACACGGTCAAGTTACGTAAAGGTTTGATACAATAAGAAAATGATTAGTGATTAGCTGTGGGCATTGGTGGACTTGAAAGTACTTGTGGTGGAATTTTTTTTCCTGTTTTTTTTTTTTTTAAACGTATTTACTGCGACCTCAGTACAAGAAAGGACTAGATGCAAAGGTGCTAGATGCAGAGAATACAAAACTAGAAAAGATGTCTGCCCTATTGGCAGGCGGGGTAAAGAAGAAGATTAAGAAATCATTGAAAGCATGGTGCTTAACCCATTCCCCGGTCAAGGAAGGCGGTCCCTGGGCAAACTGAGTTGAGCAATTTAAAGAATCCGACCTGCCAGAATAGGGAAAGAACACATTTCCCCAGCCCCAAGGAGTAGTTCAGGCTACAGAGATCCAGGAAGGGAAGTGGCCAGAGGTGCTGGGGTGAGATTAAAGTGGCGAGGCTGAGGGGTCCACAGGGGCCAGCTACGACAGGACCGGACAAGCCACGTGCAGGACTGCCAATTGGAGAAAGATCGGCTTGGCTGGGAGACTTTATCACTTTCTCTTCTACAAGCGTTTCTTCCTTTTTCTTTGGGGTTTTGTTTTGCCTGGTGAAGCCCAGGCTGGCCTGAGACTCACCGTGTACCCTGGGTGGCATTGAACTTGAACTTCCTGCCTCCACCTCTCAAGTGCCCATGTTAATCCTGTAGAAAGTTTCTTTTTGGGCAACTTATTTGGCTGACTAGAATTCTAGGGGCTTTGCGGTTCATTCTCTATTATATCTAGAACAAGGTGGGGGTTGGGAGAACAGACGTCTGAAGGCAGACAGAATCCAAGAGAACCAAATCCAAGTTATTTGATCAAAGTCACCAGTCTGTGTGTCCCGAGAGCCGGAAGCACTCATGTAAAACAACTCCGAAAAGGAGCATCAACTGGCGCTTTTTAGAGGCAGCCTGGTCTACACCACAGAGAAGCACCGTTTGAAAACCTCGTGGTAGACCTGGCATTCGCAAAGACTGAAGAGATTAAACCGTGATGCTTTGATATAAAACATTTGAACCAAACCAGAAAAGAATTTTGCCTAAGTTCCCTGTTTCAGGAAACGGCACGCCGGAGCTTGTCCGGGGGAGGTGGCTGGTTGGGCGTTTATCCTCCCGACTACGCCCTGTGTGGCCAATTAGAAACGCTGAGGGTGCCTTTAAAAGGCTTTTAGGCAGCCAGTCTCCCTGCCTTCTCCTGCCCCATTACACTGCTTCTGCCGGCGTAAAAGGCACATGCGTCAGAACCGCTGATGCAACCAACCCGACGCTAATATCACGTTGCATCATCTGACCCAAGGTGTGGTGCTCCCAAAACTGGTTTTTCCTGAGGCGGTGCTGGGGAAGAAGAGCACTCGGGGGATAACACCCACTAACCGGCCTTCCTCGTCGGCGGATAAAAGTGTTTTCTGCCACCACATGCCTCCGTTCCACACTATTTCAGACCCAGGGGAAGCCTGTGACTCCCCTGGCTGAGATGCGGGGTGAGGACGCACACACTCCTCAGCGAGGCTTGTCGGCTGCTGCTCTCCTTATGTAACCAGTGTGACCGAGCGAGGTGCATCTACCGGGCAAACCGGGCGTGCTCCCTCCAACCCCCACTGGTGCTTGGAATGTTGACTTCATTTTAGTTGAGCAACTGCTCCGGACAGAAGGTGAAGAGGAGAAAGGAGAGCAGAGACTGAGACCTCTGGGCCCTTCTGTGTGGGCACGGGTGCTCGGCCCCGTTTGTACATGGAAACATACAATGATCTTGCTGTTAGCCTTTTCTGCTGCTCCTTACTAATCGTTAAATTCAGCGACAGCCAGTGCCCATTCCAGAGGTGCGATTCCATCTAGCTAGACCACAGAAAGCTCTCCTGGTGGTCTAAAGATTCTGGGTCCCATTGATATAAAAATAAAGGCTCTGCTGGTGGAAGTGACCTCACAGGCGAAATGTAAGCCTTTGGTTTTGTTTTTAAACAGGGTGTCATGTATTCCAGGCTGGCTTTGAAGTCACTGCAGAGCCAAGGAAGACCTTGAACTCTCCATTCACCTGCCTCACCTCTGGAGCAGTGAGCTTACAGAAAAGTCCCGCCCTTTAGTCCATTTATATGGTGCTGGGAATCGAAATCTGAGGCTTCTTCCACGATAAGCAAACCCTCCACCCTACCAGGGAGCCACACCCCCCCAGAAATGAAGCCTGATGGTCTGGGTAGGTGCAATAGGATCACAAGAGGAAGGTACACAGTCTACCTGTGCTGCTGAAGCCGGAAAGTGGGAAGCTACTGCGTCCTTGTATGTGGTCGGTCTGTGTTGCAAGTATGTTTTAGCATAAACACACACTGGATTTGTTTGTTACATTTGGGGTTTTTGTAGGTTTTCTTTTCCCCCCTTTGTTCTTAAAACAAGGTTTCACTGTGTGGCCCAGCCTGGCCTTGAACTGGTGATCAGCTGCCTCATCTTCAGAGGACTACCATCATGGGCCTGTACTGACATACCCAGCTCACACTCAGAGGGGGAAAAAAATCTCATGCACAGTTTTATTAATGTGGACAGGGGGTGTATAGCTGGGTAAGCCCTGTTGCTTGGGGATCTAGCTTGAGCAACATACAGAGAGCTCATATAAGAAGCAAAATGAGTTGGGGATACGGCTCAGCAGTAGAGAGCTTGCCTGGCAGGCAGGCGAGAGCCTCGGAATTGAATGCCAAACACACTAAAGTAAAGGATAAGCCTGGTGTGATGGCACACACTTGGAATCCTAGCACTCAGCCAGCTAAGAGGGAAGATTGCTGAGTTGAAGGCCAGCCTGGGCTACAATAGTGAACCTGGTATATAGAGCCAGAGCCTGTCTCAAAAGCAAACCAACACAGAAGCTGGGGAGACGGTCCAGTGGTTAAGATGGCTTACTGCTCCTGCAGAGGGTCTGGGTTTGGTTCCCAGCATCCCCCCATCGGAGGCTCACAACTGACTGGGACTGTCTAGCTCCAGGCCGTCCATTGCTGCTGCATGCATAAAAACACACCTCAGCACGTGTTACAAATACCTTAAGAAAACAAAAATAAACTGGTCCTGGTGGCTCATGCCTGTAATCCCAGCACTCTGGGAGGCAAAGGCAGGCAGATCTCTGTGAGTTCAAGACCAACCCAGTCTACACAGTGAGTCCAGGACAGCCAAGGCTATACAGAGAAACCCTGTCTCAAGAAAAAAAAAAAAAAAAAAAAGAAAAAAAAAACCCTAACAAATAAAATGAGGTAGGCAAGATGGCTTGACAGGTGGCTCTTGCCACCAGCAGTACAGGCATGATGACCTGATACAATGCTTGGAATGCACACGAACCCGTGGCATGTGTACTCGCACATGATACATGCACCAAAATAATGAATTTAATTTTTTAAATAATTTATTTAATTTTATCCTATGTGCATTAGTGTGATGGTGTCAGATCCCCTGGAATTGACATTACAGACAGTTGTGAGCTGCTCTTAACCACTGAGCCATCTCTCCAGCCCCAATTTAAAAGATTTGTAAATAAAATATTTAAAGTAACATTGATTCCATGTTGAAATGACAAATAACATCCCTATACCAAATAAACTAGACATATACTAATAACCCATTTTCTTTTGGCTTTTTCAAGACAGGGTTTCTCTGTATGTAGTTTTGGCTGTCCTGGACTCACTTTGTTGACCAGGCTGACCATGAACTCACAGCAGTCTGTCTTTATCTCCCTTCCTGAGTGCTAGGATTAAAGGTACACCACCTCAACAGGCTTTACCTCATTTTCTTTTTCTTTTTTGTTTGTTTGTTTGTTTGTTTTCAGACAAGGTTTCTCTGTGTTTCCCTGGCTGTCCTGGAACTTGCTCTGTAGACCAGGCTGGCCTCAAACTCAGAGAGCTATGCCTGCCTCTGCCTCCAGAGTACAGGGATTAAAGGCTTGAGCCACTAGGCTTGACTAGGCTTACCTAGGCTTGGGGTTGAGGGTGAGGTAGTGCCAAGGGGTCCCTGTGGAGGTCAGAGGTCAATTTACAGGAGTTGGTTCTCTCCTGCCATGCAGTTGCAGGCCTTTGGTCTTCAGACCTGAAGTGCTATAACCCATTAAGCGCTCTTACCTGCCCTGGCATTTCCTTCCCATTGAGCTACACTGCCTTTTGGAGCACAGCAGGAAAACTGGTGCATGAATGAAAAATGAAAACAAAAATTAAAAAAAAAAAAAAAAAAAGGAGGAGGACATGAGTACTCCTGAAGTGTGGAGAAGATTTTGATTGTAGATGTAAGGGAGAAAGCAGGCAGAGAGAGGAATCCAGGATGAAGATGCCGAGTAGACTGAGAGGAGGAGAGGGGAAGGGGTGTGTGGGGGAGAGCAAAAGGTGGAGCTGACAACAGAGAGGCAGCCGGGGCCAAGAGACCGAGAGCGGAGAGAAGGAGGACCAAGAGAGCAGCCAAGAGTTAATTTAAAAGAGCCAAAGAAACAAACAAATAAACAAACCATGTAGCCAAAATAGCAGGACTGTATAGGGAAGAGCTGCTAGAGAAAGGGCAGCCCAGCCCAGTCTCTGGGCTGGAGAGTTTAGGGGAAAGGGAGAGGGGAATGCCAGCCAGGAGGACCCAGTAACAGGTGGGGCCTG